TGCCTGAAGCTGGAAGTTACAGATCAACGAATGAAGTTTCTGTATGTGTATTCCTTGATGAAGTGGTGGCATGCTACGCCTGACCCAAATTATATTTATATTTGCTACATAAATAGACAGCCTCTATTTTGAGATACTTCCATTAAGTCGAATAAGTTGATTTAAGGACAAATAGTTTCATTTTCTCACAATGAAATGAAGTCCACGATTCTACGCAGAGTATTACAATGCCTACTACGGCAGATGACTCCGTACAAGGTGCATTTTTCTTTGTCTCTCTGACAAGACAATCATGTTTCGTCTAAAAGTTAATCTAACTTGTGCGATGAAGTGGAGTTACCGCCATGTCTAACTCTGTCTTCTCGTTTCGTTCCGTTTAGATCTACAGGCGAGGTACTTTGGCAAAATGTCATGCTCACTGTCGCAAATGATGCGCGGTCTTCCAGCTGTCGTCAGCCTCTTGTCTGCAGTCATGGTTCTCTGCGTCCTCATCTGTCCTTCGAGGGTGACCGCGTTTCCAGCCAATTCGACTGGTGAGCAGCAAATACATGTCTCCTTTTAGACTTAGTCGAACTCCTTCGGCAGGTTTGCCAGTGCAGGTAATTGGAGAAAGCATTCAGGAAAAAGCATGGCAATGTTTAAAGAGTCTTGCCCGACTTCAGAACTCGCAATTCAAGATTGCCAGTTTCGTATAGAGCAGATGTGTCATTGTGACAATGACTTGTCATTTGGAAGGAAAACTTGGCTTGCCGGTAACGCAAAGAGGATGGCCGCACAGGGAAGAGAAGACTGTTGGAATGTGTGAAGAAGTCCTCGGCTCATTGTCCTGCGACTCCGATGAATCTGAGCCGAGTTTTCGTCTGTTTCACGATTGACATCGACAAAGCGAGAATCCGTACTCTGCGCAAAAACGTACCAAATATAATACGTTTATTGACTTGTGGTGTTTTCACGTAAAGTACGGTCTATCGCAATGACAATGTCTGTCATCCAGGTCGAATAGAAAGGAGCAAATCCAACAGGCTTCTTCTCTTCACTGCGCGGCAATCCTCCAATTCACGAGTTAATTTCAAGCAATTCTTTTTTCAAAATAATAATTCATGTCATAATTACTCCCTATAGTATTCTCCGAAACCTATTTTTTCTTCATATATAACATACACCACCTCGTCAGCCATGGTAACAACTAAGCTGCAGAATGATGATCATATTTTTTCGCCTCCTCTCGTCATTACTAATAACAATACCCAATATCCAATAACTTTCGTCATCTTATGCATCGCTAGCAAACGTTCTGCAATTTCGAAGGCTTGTGCTTAACTAGGAAACGGTTTATTTGCTTCAGAATGGTCATCTTACTCAATTCATTTCAGTAGCCACTTCAACCGCGGTCATAAGAGTTAAGTCATAGTGTATGAGCATTTATGGTCTTGGTCACTAGCATCGAATGCAATTGCAAATAGTCGGTTTATGTTTGACACATAATTCTTTTAAGCGCTACTTTCTGAAACTGCACCCCCCCACTCCGCAACCACAGGCACATATACCAGTTAGAATGCTGCTTGCGGTGCTGATAGTTGATTGTGGTCCACTTTGGATATTAAAGCCGGAGTAAAATTCATCAGCCATCGTGATTGTATGCCGCACACTTTGGAAACCATTATGACAATTCAATACTCTGGTCTCTGAGACCAGTTCTAGTTGCCATGCCTGCGGCTCACTTTTAGAGTGGGGGCTTGCAAACAAAAGTCTGCTTTGTGCCAGACTGCCTCATAGTCGGGATGCTTACAAGTTTGGATGCTTCTTCGACTTTGTCTGAAAAAAGTGAGAATTGAAGGGTCTTGACACGTTTGATGGCAATACAGTCTTTTGGTAGTCGAAGAAGACGTTTTGGAACTAAAATGAACTTGTCACTTCTCTCCTCCTGTATACTAAGCGAAATGTGGGATTCTTGCCAAAATTGTCGTTTGATGTATGCACAGTTGCTATAGCCATTAGTCCTTACACTGTCATCATAACACTGACATAAATTTGAGCAAATTACCTCGCCAACTTTCCATAAACTGATGCATCCCTTCAAGGAGATGCTAAGCAGAGGGCCTATTTGTCTGGATCATTCAGAAATTATTCGTTCCCAATATAAGCTTTTTTTGAGATTTGTTACTTCTTTAACAAGTACTTAGTTAGCTTAAGGTCAGTAGGCCCCGTGAGGTCAGTGAATTTTATTTATTTATTACATATCCTCATCGGACCTCTTCTAGGTCCATGCGCATTTCGCGTTTTAAGCGGGCCTTCTCTACTTGCTCTGATGCGGACACATGACATGTTCGTGATGGGGAAACTGTCCACCGTCGCTAGAATAATGAGGAGATCACTTCATCCAGGACTAACTCGACTGAAAGGATGGAGAGATCCTTGAAACTCGAATTAACACGACCAACCTGAGGGTGTACTCCTCGGCTGTGCTCATTGCCTCCTCGCCATTGGTGCCTCGCGCCTCAGTCAGCATAGGCAAGTTTGCAGACCCGGGCCAGCAGGTCACTGCAAATAACTCGAAGAATGCGAGAACGCAGCTGCACATATAGTCTCGGTCTTAGAAGCAAATAAAAGAAGAAAACTTTTGAAAAAAAGCCTTGTATCTATATATCTATATATATATATATAGATAGATAGATAGAAAGAAAAAAAGAAAGAAAGAAAGATAGATAGATAGATAGATAGATAGATAGCTAGTTAGGTAGTGTTGCATTATAGCAGGGTAGTGTAATAGTATAAGGAAAACGAGAATTATATTTATATGAATAATATATTAATATAAAAATTATTTCTACTTATATAAATATTCTATAGAATTCACATCTTTCTGACGATCTATCACATTTCAGTGTTATAATGTAATACTGCATAATATAATATATATTTATATAATATCACATTATAACAGTGTAGTCTAATAGAGTTTGTGTGAAAATCTCGTATCATTTCACAAAGTATGCTATAATTTGCCATTATGATTGATAGTAAAGGTTGGCATTGGTATTGCCATAAAAGTATGCCGAATGAAGTGTTCTGATCATTTCGACACCTGGTGGTCAGTTTGATTAGGGCAAAAATGAAATGAGCATAATGAGTCTGATTTCGCAAATTACCATCGTTGCACAGTGAAGCTGAAGCTCTCCTGGCCTTTAAAAGTCCCTTTAGCGGGATTTTAACAACAGTCGTGTGGGTCGAG